TGGGGCTGGAGCTGGAGTTCCTTGGGCCCCAGCTTTACCTCAGCCAATAATGGAGCGGTAACATTATTCTGGAACACTCTAGAACCTCCAGGCAAAAGGCTGGAGCCAGAGTCACAGAGCATTCTGAGGCCTTCTCAGCCCAGGTGGACCCAGGTCCCACCCCACACCCTAAAGGTCCTCATGTGGTTGCTGGCACTGTGTGGGGTTTTCTTGGCAGCCGCAGAGGCCTGTGTTTTCTGCCGCCTCCCAGCCCACGATGTGTCAGGCCGCCTGGCTCAGCTCTGTAGCCAGATGAAGGCCCAGTGGAAGGCATGCGAAGTCTCCCCGGACTTCTCGGCCTTTGCCTTAGGTAAGACCAGACATCCAGGGACAGGCCCAGCAACAGTCAGCCCTGTACCCCAATGGGGGCAGCATGTGACTTCCTAGCTGCACCCTAAAGGGTTCACAGCCCTCTCCGGACACAAAGGCTTCTCCCTCTGGGACAGCTCCAGAGCCCAGAAAGGTCAGGAGAGATCCCAAAACCTCCCCCTGGGCTGGGGAGGGAATCGATGGTCCTTGCCCATCTCCATAGATGAGGTGTCCCTGAACAAAGTCACAGAGAAGACTCACAGAGTCCTGAGGGTCATGGGTGAGGCCAAGGGGAAGGCATGACCTGGGAGCTTGGGAGGAGACCAAGGAGGGCTGGGAGATAGGAGCCGGGGAGGCAGGAGGGCTGATGGGGAGGAGCAGGTGCAGGGGTGGGTGAACTGGCAGTGTGAAGCCCGGGGCAGTGTAGCTGCTCTCTGCTTCTCCAGAGATCAAAAAGGCTTTCTCCTCACTCCCTGCTTATTGGCGATGGCTTCGAAAGACCAAGCTCCCTGAGTACACCAGGGAAGGTACTGACACGGGACACGGGGAGGGCATCCAGGGGTGCCTGGGATCTTAGGCAAAGGGGCCAGTGGCTCACCCTCTCCCACCCCTTCCTTGTCTTTCATTCCAGCTCTCTGTGCTCCCGCTTGCCGTGAGTAGAGAAGGAAAGGGGTAGCGAGGACCTGGGCCTCCAGGGTGCCTGAGGACAGCCTGGCAGCCCGGGGAGGAAGCTGGCACCCTGGAAGGGTGTTGGCCTGGGCTTCCCTCTCCCCCGTGTCTCCTGCAGGGGGCAGCACCATCCTGTACAACTGCTCTACCTGCGCGGCCACTGAGACGGCCTGCTGGCCCAGAAAGCGCTGCTTCCCAGGTCCTTAGTGCCAGCCCGGGCCGCACCCCGCCCCACCCCATCCCGGACCCCTTTGGCTCCCCCAGTGTGGGTGCGTGTGATCCCCAGGATTATTCACTGTCTCCCGGGGGCCCTGCAGGAAGTCAGGATCTTTGGGAAGCCAGGATTCTGCTCCTCTCTGTCTTTGGAACCGTCCTGCTTCTGGGTGTTCCGAGCCTCCTGGTGGAGTGAGTTGTGGGACAAGGGCGAGAAACAGCCTCCAACCGCCGGCCTCCCTCTGTCCCTCCTCTTAGGCCTCCCGTCTTCTGTCTTCCCTCAGGTCCCGCCACCTCCAAGTAAAAAGGGACTTGTAAAGACACTGACAACCTCCCAGTCTCCAGCTCTAAGGGGTGTGTACCCACAACTTCTAACCAGCCAGCCCCTTAATCCCAGCCCCAAAGGCTCAGTCTTCCAGACCCTAAAACCCAGACATCCCCACCAGGATCCCAGCATCAGACCGCTGCCAGGAACCCAGGCACCCACAGCTGGAAAGTTCCTCCCCTCCAGCCCTCCACCAATCAGACTGGGCCGTCAACAATGCCAGGAAAATAGCTGCAGAAGGAAAGAATCCCCTCCAGCACCACTCCCTTACCCCCTCCGCCTGTTCCGGGAAAGCGGGGGCTGTCTACCCCAGAAGCCACTCCAGGCCCTCCTATGACTGGTTAGGAATCCGGGAATGCCTGTTCTGGAAAACTCCATCCCTCTGGAGTGAGACCACATCAGTCAGTCCGCTGGCACGCTCTTCCTCCATTGTGCCAACATCTTGAAGCCCTGACCCCCTTTGGAGGCCTCTTTCCTTCTGGGCCCAATTAAACCTGCTATCTCTGGCCTCCAGCCCTGCCTGGCCTCTGTTTGCAACTGGGGAGGGCAGAGGGAGGATGGGAGACTCTCAGTGTGGCACAGTGATTCTCAGATGGGGTGATTTTGTACCCCAGTAGACATTTAGCGACATCTGGAGATGTTTTTGATCGTTTTGTCTAGGGGCGGATGTGCTAACTGGCGTCTAGCAGGCAGAGATCAAAGATTCTGCTCCACACCCTACAATGCACAGTAAATTCCCCAACAGCAAAGAAGTGACCTGTCCAAAATGTTAATGCACGGTTGAGAAATCCTGGTTTGAGAAACCAAATGGTCACCCGCCTATCAAGAGTTTAGGGTTCAGGCCGGGCGAGGTGGCTCACGCCTGTAATCCTAGCACTCTGGGAGGGTGAGGTGGGAAGATCCGCTCGAGGTCAGGAGTTCGAAACCAGCCTGAGCAAGAGCGAGACCCCGTCTCTACTAAAAATAGAAAGAAATTAATTGGCCAACTAAAAATATATAGAAAAAATTAGCTGGGCGTGGTGATGCATGCCTGTAGTCCCAGCAACTCAGGAGGCTGAGGCAGGAGGATCACTTGAGGCCAGGAGTTTGAGGTTGCTGTGAGCTAGGCTGATGCCACGGCACTCTAGCCCAGGCAACAGAGTGAGACACTGTCTCCAAAAAACAAACAAACAAAAAAGAGTTTAGGGCTCAGGAATGGGAGGTGGGACATAGGACACAAAAGAAAGGCCTGTTACCAATCACAAGTCCCAGTCCAAGCACCTAGGCCTGGAAGGAATCCCAGCTCTCATCTAGCCCAGTGGTTTTCAAACTGGGTACCTGGAGGCTCCAGGACAAGGGCTCACAACCAGCGATAGATCCTGTAGCATTAAAAGTACCCATGCTTGGGCCCCACCTGCAGAGATTCTGAATTAAATGGTCTCATATGGGGCATTTGGCTAGCATAACCACAGCCAGGCTTAGAACCACTGTTCCAAGGGTGCCCACAGAGGCCCTGACAGAGGCCCTGGGGATGGGGAGAGGAACTGCCATCCCTTCCATGAGAGCCTCTCCACTCTCTTTTTCTCTTTTGTTTTAATCAGTCCTATCCTTTTTTGGTTTTTTTATGTTTTGTTTGTTGGTTGGTTGGTTTTTTTTTTTTGTTTTTTTTTTGAGACAAGGTCCGCTTCTCTGCCCAGGCTAGAGTGAGTGCCGTGGCGTCAGCCTAGCTCACAGCAACCCAGACTCTGGGCTCAAAGCGATCCCTCCCCCTCCCCCGAGTAGCTGGGACTACAGGCACGAGCCACCATGCCCGGCGATTTTGATATATATATATATTAGCTTGGCCATTAAATTCTCCCAATTTTAATGGTAGAACGGGGTCTCGCTCCAGGCTGGTTTTGAACTCCTGACCTGAGCAATCCCCCCTCGGCCTCCAGAGTGGCTAGGGATACAGGCGTGAGCCACCTCGCCGCCAGGTTTTGTTTTTTGAGACAGGGTCATTGCTCTGTCCACCAAGACTAGAGTGAGTGCATCATCATAGCTCACGTAACTTAAACTCTGGGCCAAAGAATCCTCCGCCTCAGCCTCCCTGATAGCTGGATCAACATGGCCACATCCGGCTAATTTCTATTTTGCAGAGATGCGTCTACTCTGCCAGGCGGCGAACTCCTGAGACAAGCCATCCTCCCGCCTGGCCTCCCAAGGCTAGGATTAAGTTGAGCCACTGTTCCCGACCCCATCCCTTCATTTTACATATGAAGAAAATGAGACCCAGAGATCACATAAATTGTCTGAGATTACACAAGAACTCATTCATTTATTCATTCAACAAAGACTTTAGTGAGTGCCCAGCAGGTGCCAGGCAGCCTCACTGCCCAAGATGGGATAAGAAGCCACACCTCCTGACTGCCCGGGCACCAAGGTCTCTGGGCTGCAGTAGCTGCCTTGTACCTTCCCATGCTGTGCTCTCTTTCCAGGCTGAATGTTTTGAAGTCGTGTTTGTTTCACAACCAAAATTCAGTCAGTCCTGTCCATTCTTAAAGGACCTATCCTGTCTGTCCCCTCCTCCTGCCTACGGGTCCCCCCCACTCACCATCTACCCCAGAAGCCTCTCACAGGGAGCCCCAGTCTCCCAGGAACACCATGTGACTCTGCCTGCTCTCCTTGTCCCCTTTCACCCCCAGTGGCCACACTGGTCTTCCTAAAACTCCACACTGCTCACAGCCTCCTGTCCAGTAACAAATGATGATTAAGAACTGGGTCTTTTCGGCCAGACGCGGTGGCTCACACCTGTAATCCTAGCACTCTGGGAGGCTGAGGTGGGCGGATTGCTCGAGGTCAGGAGTTCGAAACCAGCCTGAGCAAGAGTGAGACCCCGTCTCCACTATAAATAGAAATAAATTAATTGGCCAACTAAAAACATACATAGAAAAAAATTAGCCGGGAGTGGTGGCACACGCCTGTAGTCCCAGCTACTCGGGAGGCTGAGGCGGGAGGATAGCTTGAACCCAGGAGTTTGAGGTTGCTGTGAAGCTAGGTATCCACGGCACTCACTCAGCCTGGGCAACACGCAGAGACTGTGTTCTCAAAAAAAAAAATAAAAAAGGACTTGGGCTTTGGAGTTGCTGCCTGATTTTAAATCTGGCTTGTTCTCACTGGGACCATGGGCAATTATTACTTCTAGTTTCGCCTACTTTACATCTTTAATGTGAATAATTGAATTTTACTGGCTCATGGCCTTTTTTTCTTTTACATTACATCTACTGAAGGTTCAGAATGCACTTATTGAGGCATCCATGGCTAAATGGTATTTTTTCTTAGGCAGTTACATAATTTAAGTTAATAATATAATTGATAATTCTTAAATTCAATAAGATACAGTAGTACTTACTTACAGGGATTATATGAAGTCCGCAAATACATCTGTATACAAAATGCTTGGACTGTGCCTATGGGTTCTTAATGTTCATTATAACCTCTTGCCATAGAGCCGTCCCTCGCCCCTTAGTGCCTGCAGATATAGGACCTGGCTTCTTACCTGACGTTCAAGGCTCTCCGATCAGCAGCTTGCCACTGGCCTTATATCTTTTTGTGCGAGCTGTCCAACACAGATGTAACTGGAAGTGTCCACTTGAATCCTACAGGCATCTTCAAACTCTGCCACGTCCAAACTCAAGGCTTCCTACCCGACTCCACCCCCATCTTTGTGACCTCCCTAGGCTTAATGGCCAGCACCAAACTGTGTCCTGGAATTCTTACTTCCTTCCTTCCTCTAATGCCCACATGCCACTTCTTCATCAGTAACCAAGTTAATCTGCCTTTTTAACACTTTGGAACCTGGCCCTATGTGCGTGAAGGCTTCATTGCTTGAGTTGCTGCCCCAACCCCAACTACCCTCCACAGCCAACTGGAGTTGCCCAACACTTCTGTCTTCTCATGCTACGTTGCCTTTGTCCAGGCTTGTCCCTACACTGGAAGGCCTTTCTCCTTTGGCTCAGACTGACCTTTTCTGAGAACTCTTCTCGAGCCCCTGGAGCAGGCAGAAGTGGTCTCTTTTCAAGGCATCTCTCAACTGTGCATCTGTACATCAGGTGGTAATTTGTTTGTTTCCTTTCTTTTTCTTTTTTTTTTTTGAGGACAGGATCTTACTTTGTCACCCAGGCTGGGGTGTAGTGGCACAGCCATAGCTCACTGCAATGTCAAATTCCTGGGCTCAACTGATCCTCCTGCCTCAGCCTCCTCAGTGGCTGGGACTATAGGCATGTGCCACTATGCCCAGCCAATTTTTCTACTTTTTGTAGAGATGGGCTCTTGCTCTTGCTCAGGCTGGTCTTGAACTCCTGGCCTCAAGCAATCCAATCACCTCGATCTCCCAGAGTGCTAGGATTACAGGCATGAGCTACCACGCTCGGCCTGGTAGTGCTTTACCCATCTTCCCTCCAGAGCACGTACTGCCCTATAAAACCACTGCTTAAGGGTTTGTTACCCATGTTTCCAGAGTGCTGGGCACATGGCAGATACCAGGACGTGTCTGTGACAACTCTAGCCCCTTCTCTGAATCTTGTGCTATCCACTGCCCTAGTAAGCTCTTTGCAAGCGTGTGGGACAGGAGGCTGGCAGAGTTAGTGTTTCTTTCCGTGCATATAAGGACAACCCACTGGAGCGTGCCCTGCCAGGGCAGGCCTGGTTTTTCTAAGCTTCTTGGCAAACAAGGGAGGCTGCTGTGGGTGCGGCAATTTTTTAAATGGCTCCCAAATTCTTTGACATGCCTCCCACAGAGACATAGGGTCTATGTATCCTCCCCTTGAATCTGGGCTCTGTGACTGACTGACCAATAAAACATGACAAAAGTGCCACTGTGCCACTTTCTGGGCCCAGGCCTTAAGGAATTGGCACCTTCCGCTTTGTGTCTCTTGGGATGCTCGCTCTGGAACCTGGTTACCATCTACGAGGAGGCCTGGACTTCAGGAAGAATCCACATGGGTGGGTCCCAGCCAAAAGCCAGACGGATGAGTGATAGTACAGCCCCAGCTGCCCAGTCACCCCAGTCACTTTCATTTCTCCAACTAAGACCCCATACGTTGTGGAGCAGAGGTAAACATCCCCACAGCATCCTGTTGGAATTCCTGACTCCTGATTCCTGGGAGACCAGGGGCATACTAACTAATACAATCATTTGTATTCCTCAACAACAGGTAACTGAACAGTGAAGCAGAAAATGGAACCCAGGACTTGGCATGAAATGTCCAGGGTTTGTGACATGGCTGGCCCTGTCTCTTCCTAGCCGTGTGCTTCACCAGACTGAGCCCCAGTCCTCCTACCTGTCCAGCGGAGTTAATGATGGCTAACATGGATGAAGACAAGGTGTCAGACATCATTCTAAACATTTTATGCACTCTATGGTCTATAACCATGTAACAAATTTCTCTAAAACTCAAGGGCCTAAAGCAATAAGCATTATGCCACAGTTTCTGGGGATCAGAAGTTCGGGAGCAGCTTTGCTGGGTGGTTTTGGCTCAGGGTCTCTCACCAGG